TTTTATTTTATTTTATTTTATTTTATTTTATTTTATTTTATTTTATTTTATTTTATTTTATTTTATTTTATTTTATTATTTTATTTTATTTTATTTTATTATTTTATTTTATTTTGGTTTATTATTTTATTTTATTTTTATTTTATCTTTTTTTAGTGCATCTGTATTGGATTTAACATCTCTTTGCATTAAAGAAGGCATAGCTGTTTGGGTTCTTTATATTGATTTGGTTTGTGTTAATTATGATGGCAATATTTATGATGCGTCTGTTATTGGAATGATAACTGCTTTAACTAATGGTATGTCATATGAATTTGAATGTCTTATTGATTTGACGGATTTAATTGTCTTTTTATATCATTAATAGTGAAACTTCCCGAAGCTACTTTTGAAGAAAGCAGTGGCTTAGTAAAAGCTACTGAAGAACTATCAGTCTCTCTTAAACTTCAACGAATACCATATTCAGTAACGATTGCGTTGTTCGATGGGTAAAGCTGCTTTATTAAGTTTATATTTTACATCTATAATATATCTATAATATTTACACTTAAGAATGTAACGCACCAATAATCATAGGCAGTATTTGTTGGTTGATCCAACTGAAGTAGAAGAGTCGATAACGAGCGAACAAATCTCTATTGTTTTCGATGAAGCTGGGCAGCTCTGCACAATATGGAAAGTTGGGGGATTACCATCTTCACCAGAGCACCTAAAGGAATGCATGAATATTGCACGAGAAAGATACAAACAAATAAGCATGATTATAAATAATAGCCGATAGTGCAATTAAATACGACGGTTATACAAAACAACATATAAGTTATTTGATTTGTTTGATAATGACCGATTATAAAAATAAATTTTTGAGTATGTTCGGTTGATAAATGATCGAAAATATTCGATTTCTAAATCGTAATTCCCGATATTATGCATCATTCGTATTATATTTTTCACAATTTGAATCTTTCTAGATGGCTCAGTATGATATACTTAGTATTCTTTTTCTTTGGCGAAATCTGGTGGCCTGGTTGGTTATATGCTTTTCTATACATCTTGTTATTTGGTTCTTGGTAGATCCTTTGGAGGATGTTTATAGGTTTTCATTAGTCTGATAGTATTATCAGAAGTTTATGTTGTTTTTTTTACTTAGGAATTTCAAAATGGGTTTTTGTTTTTTCAGTTTTTTAGTCTTTTGCACTTAATGGTTTTATTATGAGTTTGCATTAAAGTTTTATGTAACACTGATTATTAACATTTTTCTATGTATGTGTAATATTATATTTTGTATAGATGTTTTGAGTTTTCAATATTAAGTGGGATTTATCTTGATGTATTTAAAATTATAGATATATAAATTTAATTAATTAATGAGGAACAGTTATTATAATACAAATATAATATTTAAATTTTGTTATAAATAGAATTTGAATATTAGATCTATTATTTGAGAGTTAATAATTTATTAATTATTTTAAATTATTATATTTTTTTTGATAAATTAATATAATATATTAGTTTATATAAAAATAATAATTTTTATCAGTAAAAAGTATAACAACTTGGTATAATGAACAAATTATTAATTTTAAATAACAGACCTAATATTCAAATTTTATAACTAATAAAAATTTGAAAAATTAATTTATATTATAACAATTGTTTTAGTAATCAGTTGAATTAATATATATCTGTAATTTTAAATATATTAAGTTAGGTCTTATTTAGTATTAAAATTTTAAGACATTTATGCAAAATATAATATTATATAATTATAAAGAAATGTTTATTAATATTGTATAAGATTTTAGTACAAATTTATGATAAAATTATTAGAAATAAAGACTAAGAAATAAGGGTATAGTAACCTAGTGAAATAATCAGATTGTCAACCCTCAACTATTAGGTTAGGTGTTCAAATCTTATTGACAGTAAAAAATTTGAATAATTACCTATATAATACTTGTATTATGGTAACTGTTACTAATGATTAGCTTAAGATATCTGTAATAGTAATTGCATTAGCATGACCAGTAGGTCATAAGGCATCTATATAAGTATAACATTATACAGAGAAATATAAACTAACAATCAAGTAATACAAACATTAAATAAGTTCTTGTGGTCATATAAATATATTAAAATTAGATAACAAGAAATCTATTTGAAAAGATTTTTTTTTTTTTAATGTTAAGGCAAGTAATTGTAACCTAGAAGTTTTATTGATAATCAGTTGGCATATAACTATTATGTACAACAGCTACAGAGGCAATCATGGAAAGAATATATAACTAGCCACTTATACAACTTTAGTTATTATCTATTTTAAGTAGTTTGCCCGAAGGTTCTATACTAGTTGCCATACCTAGAACCCATTTGTGGGTTTTCTATTGAAACATTCTAGTTCCTGTATCCACCCCTACCCTATCAACTGCAGTCATTGCTGCAAATATATCATGGTCACTAAGTCATGTTTAACTTTATACTAAGCCCACTGGAGCCTTCTGTATCCTATATTTACAGCTGACCCAGTACCACTCTGGCCTAAATTATCACTTGCAATCAGGGCTAACTATTAAATCGCTATACTTTTGTAAAGTTCACAGGAACCCCAATACCTTCCTTTCCTAACTTTCACACCTCTACTTCTGAACCTACAAGACCCACAAGACTTCCCAAACTACCAATCCAAATGGTTCATTCAGCGAACCCAGTAGCCTGGTTGGTATATGCTCCTCTACATATGTTGTCATCTGATCTATCCAAGGTCCTAGTAATCCTTTTTTGGAGGCTTCCGATGGTTTGGTAGTATCATCAAAAGTCTATGCTACCTTTTTACTCAGGATTTCCAAATGGGTTTTCAACTCTTCAATTCCTTTGTTTTTATGCCTGATGGTCTTATCGTGGGTTTGCACCAAGTCTTATGCAATATCAGTTATTAACATTCCTCTATATGGGTGTAACGTTACACTTTGTATAGATGCCCCGAGCTCCCATTCGAGATATTTGAAAAGATTTAAATAAAAAAATAATTAGATTTTTAATAATTTTATTGTAAAGACCAGTCTTATGAAATAAATACCAATATTAAAATAATTAAATAGACAAAAACTTTTAAGTAAAGAGTACTATTAACCAGGTTACTAAAATAGATCAGAAGAAAAAGATATCAGGCTGACCTAATATATCAATAAACTAGTTATAATTCTACTAAGCTATCTAAATTAAAAGTCTAGCAAACAAGCAAGAGTATACTAAAGTATTTCAAATATACTATAAAGTAAATATTAAAGTCTATATGAATTCTGCAAAAATATAATAGTTTAATAATTAAATCTAAATACAAAGTTACTTTTAAAAAAAATTTTTACATAATTTCTTAATAATTTTATAACTAAAACTAAAGAGTTTATTTGTATCAATAATCAAACTAAAACAAATTTTAAATAAAAAAGATATTATTTTATTAATACAGTCTAACCTCTCTATAGTTACATCCTTAGGATACAGAAATTGGTAATTATATAAAGATGTGACAAGTATAGAGGTACTTTTATATAGTTACAACACTATTAAAAAAATAATTAGTGATTATATAGAGAATTTATAAATAATTTTTTTTAAAAAAATTTTTTTGATTAATCGATAATAGTTGCTCTATATAAAAGTTAAAATTTTATTAAGTAAATTGATCTTTTTAGATTAAGTAAAGTTGTTCAGAAAAATAATTTATATACATTATAAAATTTTTATATTTTTTAAAAAATATTTTACTAATTAACATTTATAATTTACATTTTTATAAAAAAAATTAATTTTTTTTTATATAAATATAAATTGTAAATATATATTTTTTTTTTTACTCTTTGACGATCTTGCCGAGATTGTTTATGCTCCTTATATTCTCGAACTAATGTTCCTAAATGTCCTGGGTCACGGAACCTTGACCTCCCCCAGTCCGTACTTTTAAACTTTCCAAGAGCGATTCATCGCACCAATCCCTGCTGGTATTAGAAGGTTTCATCAGGCTCTGCTCAGAACTGGCTATCGTCATGAGTTTATGTAGTATCTCTCATTGTCAGACTTTTTTTGGCTTCACATTACATCTCATGACTTTGGTTATTCCAAATCGGGTTCTAACTCATGTTCATCACCATGTGGCTTCTCAATTGAAGGTTACTTGCTATTTCCAGAAATAAGTCCATCTTTCAACACCCTGGGTCCCTGGTATCATGGTGTTGCAGTTCCCTATTTTTGGAAATGCATCTCTACAATTGCTGTCACTAGGATTTGAACTGGCAACCTTGTGATTTGTGACCTCAGAACATAACCACTATGCTATCAACCCTAGAGGTTAATTGTAAATATTAATTAGTAAAATATTTTTTTAAAAAATATAAAAATTTTACAATGTATATAAATTATTCTTCCAAACAACTTAACAAATAGTCTCTGCAATAATAAAATACTCTTTATTGAACAAATTACAACTGCTAATAACTTATACTTTCTATCTTGGAATAATATATATATATATATTAAGAAATCCATATATGAACCTACTCCTTCCTGGTTTATCAAACTTTGTAACCTTATTTAAAATAACACTATTCACCAAACATAGCCACATCTTAATCTACCTAATATTAATAGCTTTATTAATTCTCTCGATACAATTACATCCTATTACCTATTACCATTAAATCAATAGTCAATTCTTCTTAATAATTCCCAAATTCTTTTTACAAAGAATTCATTAAATTTTTCTCAATTAACAACATTGTTCATGGCTCAATATCCTTGACTCCTACTAGCCCATCTATACTGATACCTTAAACCTTTATTAATATTCCAAATATTAAGTCATTAAAAAAAGATAATACCTATTCTCTCAACATTGATAATCATGAAATTCATACACTTATCAATATACTACAACAAACTTCTCTACCACTTATACCAACTTAAACTCCAATTATATATATTCCTAAAATGGAAATACAAATAATATAAAAATACATATTATTTTCTAATTATCAAAATTAATTTATCAAATTATTCTTATTAGCAAAAAATCTTCTAAACAATACTCATTTCTATACAGATGCCTCAATTATTAATGCTCAAACATCATATCCTAAAATTGGAATCAGATAAATTTCTGAATACAATATCCAAATTAAATTTAACTGTTCTATCTCTTCATACTCTGACTCTATCTGAGCAGAACTTGAAGCAATAATATATCTCCTTCTTATCTTACCAATGAATTCACAAAATAACATATATTTGGATAATCTTTCTGCACTTAAAAATATTCAACTATTCCTATTATTACATAAATTCTCTTATATAAAAAACTGGGATATTCTATTTATTATTTATCATCTCATTAAAACCAAGTCTCTTAATATTTCTTTTCATAAAATCAAATCTCATTCTAATAATTCTTTTCACAATCAAGCCAATTTTCTAGCCAAACAAGATACTAATAAATACCAAATCATATTTAATTTTAAAATAATACTTTCTTCTTATTTTAAATAACATGATTATATAATTTCTACTAAAACTTGCTCCTTTCTTTAAAATACTATAATTATTCAATCACTTCTTACTTGATTACAACTTAAATACTTTCAAAATCTGCTTTTCATTAAATGGTCTACCAATCTTAATATTATTAATTCACTTAATAATGATCAAAATTTTTATTCATTTTGACTAAAAATTATTAATAACAACTTACCAACTATGAAAAATCTTAATATTTGCTATTCTTTA